CAGAGGTTGAAGGGGTGGGGGGTCAGCCTGTCAGTGCTCAGACCATACACCGCACACTGCATCAAATTGGTCTGCATGGCTGTCACCCCAGAAGGAAGCCTCTTCTAAAGATGATGCACCAGAAGCCCGCAAACAGTTTGTATATATATATATATATATATATATATACAAAGTAAATATTTTCCAAATAATACTTATATGTTTTAGGATTCAATACAGTGACAATTACAAAAGTTTGGGGTGGGTAAGATTTTAAAATGTTTGTGAAAGAAGTATCTTATGCTGAGGCTGCATTGGGGTGGGTAAGATTTTAAAATGTTTGTGAAAGAAGTATCTTATGCTCACTGAGGCTGCATTTATTTGATCAAAAATACTGTAAAAATAATATTGTGAAATATTGTTACGATTGTAATTTTTAAATATTTAAATGTTATACTTTAATTTATTACTGTGATGGCAAAGCTGAATTTTCAGCATAATTACTCCAGTCTTCAGTGTCGCGTGATCCTTCAGAAATCATAATATACTGATTTGGTGCTTGAAAAACATTTCTTATCAATGTTGAAGTTCTCGCACATAATATTTTTGTGAAAACAGTGATAGGTTTTTTTCAGGATTCTTTGGTGAATAGAAAAAAAACAGCATTTATTTGAAATGGAAATCTTTTGTAAAAATGTAAAAGTCTTTACTGTCACTTTTGATCAATTGAATGGGGCGTTATTTCTTGCTTTTTTCAGACTGTATTCATGGGTCTTTATAGGCTAAAATATATAGCCTAGCTGCCTTTAAGCTGTTGATTTGGTCACTTTGTACAACATTTTGCTTTCAGTTAGGTATAAAAAAAAATAAATAAAAAAGCCTTGACGTCCATTTGAACACGCCTAGTCATATGAGGTTCCATTTGTGTCAAAAATGAGTCGACTGCTTTGTACTATACATTTGTCTTTGTCTACAGTCATTGCTTACTTGTTCAGGTAAATCTACAGTCATTGCCTACTTGTTCAGGTAAATCAGTATATGTAGGCGTGCATGTTGTCTGTTGACGTCGTCTTAATCTGTCGTCCTGCTTGTTTTTTCTCTGTCGTTTAATTACTGTCGTCCGTCTGTCGTCCTAACAGTCATCTTATTCTGTCGTCCTAACAGTCATCTTATTCTGTCATCCTAACAGTCATCTTATTCTGTCGTCTTTACTGTCGTCCTAACAGTCATCTTATTCTGTCGTCCTTACCGTCGTCTTTACTGTCATCCTAACAGTCATCTTATTCTGTCGTCCTTACTGTCATCCTAACTGTCATCTTATTCTGCCGTGCTTAATGTCGTCTTGTTCTGTCATCATAACCTTCATCAGCGCTGTAAAGTTAGTTTCACATTTCATATTCAACTAGGCTCTTTTAGGGACCGTCTGCAAATTTACCTCACAGTACAAAA